ATTTGAGTTGTAAAATCGGTTCTCATGCAACAAAGGTAGAGAGTGTACTTCACATTGACTGTGATGAATATCTCGAAAATAGCATTTTATGATCTATGAATTGTTACAAATTCATAAATTATTAAATATCATAAATTACAGTAAGTTAATATCATGTACAAAGTATACTAATATATATTTGTGAGAAACTATCATACAATATTGATTCTTTTTCGTTTAAAAATTGTATAATCATAAATATATCTACGTCAATCACATTTAACGAAGATATTCTTATGACTACTTAAATTTCACTCTCACCTTTCTTTGCACACATTCTTCTGTTTTGATGTTGTCTAGAGAAGTCCGAACATATTCCGTAAATTCCACCATCTTATTCATTACACGTTGTCAATTCAGTAAACTCGATATGTCAGACAGAAAACAAATTAGCATCCGTGCAGTTTGATGCTCGTTTCATGAGTATTCCGAAATTTAAAGAAAATTTACTCACCATAAAGGAGGCGATTAAAACGAACCAAACTTTATTAGTGCAAATGTAATAACCGTGGAATTACGTAATTACAATATCATGGTAAAAAGAGAATTTCCTGTGCAAGAACGACACAATTTAAAACAAACCTTTAATATCTAGTATAGAGTTTCTCTAACGGGATCCCGGTAATCACGGCTGTTTTTTAACCCGGGAAATCTCGCAAATTTCTTAAAAGGCCACTGTTTTCTTATTTTGTGTTAAGGTTAAAGAAATTTTGCAAATAGAAAGTAAAATTAACTCATAAACTGTCAGAATACATTTGTATTTATTAATTTTAAGCCTACTTATTAGTTTTTTAAATTTTTGCTTGTTACGGCATGTCACGGATTGTCAATAATCAATATGTAGCCTATTTGTGGCAGAACTCTGAAAATTCTTTACTTGTCAGAACCTGTAATATCTTGAATAATTGCGCCAATGCTGTCTTAATTTTTAATCATATCATAACCCCGAGGTAAACAAATCAAGATTACTAGACAGCAAAAGAAGTACTACAGTCTCGAAAACGAACTAGAAATCTTCGAGGTTACAGGTGAAAAAACACGTAACTTCTATCATTAAAGACGATTCCATCCATATCAATTGAATCGGAAAGGGCATTCTCGGTAAAATGTTTTATTTAAAAACGGAAAATTACTTTCTAAGTTAGAAGTTACATCTAAGTTCATTTATATTCTTTAAATTCTTAACTCAATTCAAAGGCATTTTTTTGTAAACGGTTTCTAACAAACTTTAATAAATTTTCTCCATTCATAAAAATTTCTACGTAATTCAAAAGTAATTTTTAATACATATTCAAATATTATTCTTTCTATATGAAAGTTTGGCTGTGAGTCCGTCTACCAAATTTTTTTAGATTACAGAGACATATTATATAGAAAGATCTAACATACAGCAGTTATATAGTCAAATATTATTATTTTGGAGGTTGCAGGATGTATTAAATTACTTAAAAATGAAAAATAATTATATCATTTGATTTCGAGATTTATTACATAATTCAAAAGTAATTTTTAATACATATTCAAATATTATTCTTTCTATATGAAAGTTTGGCTGTGAGTCCGTCTACCAAATTTTTTTCGATTACAGAGACATATTATATAGAAAGATCTAACATACAGCAGTTATATAGTCAAATATTATTATTTTGGAGGTTGCACGATGTATTAAATTACTTAAAAATGAAAAATAATTATATCATTTGATTTCGAGATTTATTTTATATCTGAAAAATAATTAATTATATCCCATAATGTCCCGGTATCCCTGGAAACAGATCACTTTTTTCCTCGAAATCTCGGGACAAGCAAAGGACCGAGAAATGAGAAACCCTAATCTTCTACGATCTCTACTTCCTGGATATAAGTGGCGATAGGGTCAGACATAAAGGGATACAGTACAACAGGGTTCGCCAAAGTGGTCGATATCGACCCCCAGGGGTCGATATAACATTATTGGGGTCGATTATCAAGCTTAAGGAAAGGTTAAGGGGGAGCTAAGGATCAAGCTTATCGGTCTCACTGATTGTCAGTTACAAAAATTATTATTAACAAATATACAATAAATGAAAAAAATGCAAAATTAAAAGAATTGTATTAAAATAGTAGAGAGGTTGCGGCCGACATTTTCATCTCAAAAACGTGTACGTCGGACGTTCAGCGCCGCCTTCCTGTAAGCCTAGAAGTTTGACAATGGCGTTTGATACGTCGATCATGACTCCACTGACGTTCCAAACGCCATTGTCAAACTTCTATGCTTATAGGAAGGCGGCGCTGAATGTCCGACGTACACGTTTTTGAGATGAAAACGTCGGCCGCAACCTCTCTACTAAGTACAGTAAAGCATCGATTATCCGACTCAATCGGGGACTCAAGTTGGTCGGATAACTGAAAAAATCGGATAACCGAAAAAAATGAAAAAATACATTATTAGTATAGTATATTAGTAATTAGTAAACCATGTAATTAGTATATTAGTATATCGCTATTAACCAACTTCGCGTTGAATTTTCATCGATGTTAAACCTAACAATTTTTTAAAATAATAATCGTTGCTATTGTATCGTTAAAAATTATTTTAAAATTATTTTATTACTCACAAAACAAACAACCATTCATAATTAGAATATTAAGTCTCGTTTAAATACTGGCCTCCCTTCAATGGTCGAGCTGTTGATGCCAGCTGAAACACGCAAAAATTTAACAAAAATAATATTAAAGTAGCCAAGACATAGCCAAATATTGTAGTGCCACATCACCAGCGGACATTTGAAATTTGCCGACTAGAACGGTCGATTAACCGATGTGACGTAATCGGGGGTCGGATAATCGATGCTCTACTGTACTTTGTTTTGCTTGTAACATAAACTTTTTGGTGGGGGTCGATGTGATGTTTCGAGAACTTGTACGGGGTTGACAATCAGAAAAGTTTGGCGACCCATGCAGTACAGTATACTATCTTGCGACAAATAATCCCACAGATATTGCAGCTGCCGTCATACGCATAGATGGCCGAAGCTGGCATCTCATCCGGCCCACAAAAGTTCGATGGATGATATATTTGAAAACTGAACAGAGCAAGAAAATGTGGCAACGTGACGGAGACATTCTCGAGAAACTTTAGCTGCGTGCGGCAGAGCATTATCTTGATGCAAAATGTCAGAAGTTCTGACCAAAGAAACAACACATGAGGGCGCAAGTTTGCCTGACCATAATTCTGTGCCATCACTGCCCTAGCACCACTACTATAGATGACCGATTGTCAAAACAGATGACTCCCCGAACCAACATGCCAATAATAAGCGCAATGAACCGCTCAACAATAAAGGCTAAATTGATGAGCTCGACATTACATTCTAACACTGCAGTAGCCAAACAGAACTGAGATTCGGCGGTAAACACGATAAATATGCTGTCAGTTGCATGCTTCTCTGTGACGGCACCATTGCAAACGAAGTCGACGATGCTAGAATGATAAATAGCAGGACGGGCAGTGGTCGCATGTAAACTTGTCTCTATTAGTCCCTTGACAATGGTACGAAATTTGTAACGAGGCTCCACCTGTTTTTGGATGGTGGTCAAATACAATGTTGCTGGGTTACAACTGTTCGTTCTTGTCTCATCTCTCCTAATAGTCTGTCTAGGACATTCAGAGCTAGCCCTCTGTGTATAAACGGTCCTCAACACCATCTCACAGTCAAGTCAAAATGGACCAGATGGCAAGCAATTCGGTGAAATTGCCACCCTGCTTTTCTCAACCCGAAGATGCGGTCTTTCTGAAACGTTTTCAGCTGGGAGTAATGTATCCTATTTGACTGCGTCGTACAGACATGCCCGGCGTTCGAAGGCCTCCGAACAGGCAGGTACTGTACACTAAAATTCCAGACGTAGTGAGTCATTACGAGAGTTTTTAAAGGATACAAGAGTAATAATAATTCTAAAAACTTTGGTGGAATGCCACCAGAGTTTTAGAATTACCTGGAATGCAATCTGATCACAACTGTGCTAATTTACATACCTCTCTGCACTGTTGCTATCCTATGTAAAATTTTATCTACGAAAACTTCTACTTGTGATACAAAATACCTCTAAAAACATCTAGATTGTTGAGTTTCAAAGATGTTAAAACTTATTACCAACTTAAATAATAGCAGTAATCTACAATTACTGCACCATACAAAACAGTAAGCATTTTATATAAATAGGATTGGATTGATGGAATAAGGAAACTCTATACACTCCGATCCGCCAAAGAGAATGTCTCACCTTCCTATGGAAAAGTGGCTCCTAGTTTGATGTGTTAGAATTAGTTAATATTAGTAGAGTTATTCTGGTATTCTAATATTTCTTATAAACAAGAAAATAAGTATATAACATTTCTATTCTTGGATATTAAATTAGCATTAATTCCAAAGTAAATTTAAAGACGATTAGATAGCCCAACGGTTAATTGTCGAAAACAACAGGAACTTTTCGGGTGGAGTGGGTCGTTCAGATATGTCGTGTTCCGTAATGGGGAAAAAGGCCCTCTCAGTACATAAAAGACAGAATGAGTCAAAATTGAAAAAGAATGGAATAGAACAGAACGCTTTGAAACAAGAATATCAGAATAGTAAATTTTTATTAATTGATTGAAAAATGAGCAGGTAAACACTTTATTGAACATTTCAATTTTATTAATGCAATTTTCTAAGCATTTAGAAACTATTCGATTGAAAAATGGAAGTCGTACATGATAATTTTATAATAATTGGTATAAATAAAAAATATATTGTTTCGAAGAATAAACGTACAAATAGTATAAAAGGCGAAAGCTATTTATAAAGTCATGACAGAAATTTATAGGTTTTCATTACGATTGGATAAGAATGTCACGTGAATAACCTTATCGAAATATTGGCCTCCAATAGGGATTTCTTTTAACGATAATGACGTTATACTATTGAATTTCCGATAGTGACGCTGTCAAACAATCTCAAATACTCTATAATATTGTAAGCGAAATTGTCTGTAGGAATAGAATCGATTTCGACAACAACAACAGAATCGATTTAATTGAATATAAAAAAATATGATTGAAAATGCAATATTTTTTGCTTTGTTATTTCTTTTATTATTTTTGTGGTATCGGTAAGTATTTTTTTCTTTTTCTAAAATTATAAATGTATTTAGAATAGACTGGGAAATATGAATATAATAATAAAACTACCGTATATTAAAATATTTATGAATATTATAAGCAAATAATTCGTTTTAATGTACCGTTAAAAGTAGCCTTCTAATTGTATAATTTAAATAAAACTGACGATTTCAAAATTATAAATTTAAAATTTGACTAAAATTACAGTAAAACTTCGCTAAGTCGAACCGCTTTAACTCGAAGCAGTCTACAGGTCTCATGCACAGTATATAGGATTTTTCATACAACACGGTTTCTTTAAGTCGAAATTATTACTTTTTTAACGCAAACTTATTTTCCCGTGTATCCTCCGTTTTTTGACAGATCTGTGATCTTCATTTTCTCTAATGTTTTGTATCAGCGCTGTCCAACTGGCGGCCCGCGGGCCATATACGGCCCGCCAAATAATTTTTACGGCCCGCGAGTACATTTTAATATGAATAAATTTATGTTACTAAATTATTATTATTAATATTAAAATTATTTTACTACCGTGTTTACCCGAAAATAAGACAGTGTCTTATATTAATTTTTGCTCTGAAAAATGCGCTAGGTCTTATTTTTTCCAGGAAGAAGAATTCACATTTATTATTGAACAAAAAAATTCCCAAGACGAACTTACACGAGAGTGACGTATATCCGGTGTGTCGAACTGTCGCGTTTTTATAGCGTCAACATCGGACTCGCTGACCAATTAGTGCTTACAGACCGTAGCACTATGCAAATGTCATGTAGCGTGATTCCCGGCGACCAATTAACCATCACCAACCTTCTTGGCCCCCGAAATGTTTGGTGAAGAAAATATGGCCCGCGGGCTATGATAAGTTGGACAGCGCTGTTTTGTATGAATACAGACTATTCAGATAAAGACTACTTCTCCATGCTGAACACAACATCATGCCATTACAACCTCACCTTGACATCTTTTTACTGATACAGTATATTACTAAAATTCTGACTAGGAGACAAGGAAACTTAACAACGCATTCAAAAGCGCAATAAACTGTATTCAATTTATTAATCATTTTGTGAATAGATTCTTGAGAAACGGCTTGATAATGGGTCATTTACGGCATCAGAAAAATTCGAGAGAATCGAGTATTAAACTCGTTAACTCGAAGTACTTTTATTCTTTAAATTTCGACTTGAGATTTTACTGTATTCTAAATTTAAAAAGTATAGAGAATAATTATAAAAGTAGTTTTAATTTTTAATCAACTCGGTTCAAAAATTATTTTGATCTATATTTGTCTTATGTAAGAATAATCAAAGTGCAAATTCTCTAACAAAAAAATAAAAATGAAATGATTTTATCTCGGAAGGTTTAAAGTTTTTCAAGATTGTTTAGATACAAAAAACGATAAAGGAAATATTAAACTTAATAGTCGGATTTAAGGAATCTATTATACAGTTTTATCTGGAAACATTAAATATGATCGAGAGTATTCGTAAATTTCAAGGCCTGAATCGAAAAGGTAATGAGTCTTATCAAACAATGAACACATCAAATCGTTTATAAAATTCAATAGAATTATATCAAATGAACATTTAATATAATTTCTGTTGTCCATTGTAACAGTATCTACACAGCAAAGAAAAAACAACAAGTTACAGAAAGTAAAACATTATTTTATTATAATTGTAAAAATGCACTCAAATATGTTATTTATGTATTATTACTTTTTATAAAAATGAACTTTTTGTAAATAAAATAACTTAGGAAAAGGTCCCCTGTCCCCTATACTAGTCCATTAGTATATATCCTTATCGACGACTCTCTAAGGGCGTCAACTCCAAGGGTTTAGAACACATTAGGCATCGCACAAGAATTTAATTTAATTAAATAGTGCCAGCATCCGATAGTTGAAGAAGAAAATTATTTTTATCCGTGACGGTAGCTATACAACAATGCTGATAAAAGTTATCGATGTTGTTTTGTATTAACTATCAGTTTTAATCTTAATTTTGTTATGGAAAATTTACGAATATAACTGATAGTCGATAGACTGTCGAAACTATCTCTCGTTGTCTGAAATACTGTTTTAATTAATTAATTCAAACTGTTTTCTGATATCTACTGTGGCTACATTCTTGTAAAAATATGGATTCTCTAAAGTGTAATGTAAAATACTGTAGAAATCTCCGGATGATAAGTGAAGCGTGCAATACCATAATGTTGTAAATGCCAAAAAACAAACTTATCAGAAGAGGATAAAAACACTGTTTCTAGTGAATGAATAGCCTACATTTCAATTTTACAATAAAATACTGTAATAAAAAACAAACTAACTAGTTACAAATTTTCTGAAATAGCCAATGATGTAAATATAAACTGTAATGTTTTAAATGCCAAAAGTCATATGACTTGCACTTTGGTTCTTTAAACTTGATGGTTTCATATATATTCAACTTAAAATACAGCCACTTACAGTGCCTTTATTGCCACAATATGATTCAGCAGAACTAAAGCACGTGCCCTCTGTCATTTTTCAGAGATTGTTACTATTACCTTTGAATAATTTTACTTACCTAATTTTACCTAGTTGAAGTCATTAGGTGGCTGGATGGCCGAGCGGTCAGGGTGGCAGCATACCTCTCTGGGGAACCTGGAATCAAATCCGGTCGGATCAAAAATTCTCCAGGAATTTTTCGTGGGGAGGTCCGTCCTGATATGTGGGGCCCCGTTCCTCATTACCCGGCCGCCCATTGTGGGCCTGGCTAAATCCATAATAGGCTTTCTAAAAGAGGTCCTCTTATTGCCCACAGGGCAAAACTAGTAAAACAAAAGTCGTAGTCATGCGATATTCGTTAATATATATGCAGTAGAGCGTCGATTTTCCGAAAGTCAATCATCCGAAAGAATTTCAGTTGGCAAATTTAAATTTTCGCCAGTGCTGTGGCGCTTCAATCTTTTGCTATGTCTTGGGTTACTCAAATATTTTACGTTTTTGATACTAAATTAACATCTGAAGTATAATTTTTTATTGTTTTTATATTTTTCAATATATTTATTTTGTTTGTACAAAATAAAAAAATAATTTTTAACGATACAATAGTCTTTGTTAGGCTTAACATCGACGAAAATTCAACGCGAAGCGACACGCAACGGAGAAAAATTTCGACATCGGATACGTTAAACTATTTTTTCGTACGTAAATCAGTTATCCGAAATATCAGTTATCCGGACAACCCCAGTCTCCAATTGATTCGGAAAATCGACGCTCTACTGTATATTTATTTATTTTTTTAAAGTAACTAAAATGCTAGCCCTTGGTTCAAATAGAAGATTAAAGGGACCATCCGGTAGTCTATTAATTTTCAGTTAAACTACAATATAAAATTTAAATAATAGCAAAAGTTTAAAAAAATAGAAATTTTGTTGAATTATGATAAAAATCTCCATTTAAAAAATACTTAAGTTTCAAAACATTATGACAGTCGCTCAAGTTAAAATTATATGCTGCGCCATCTGTTACGAGATGTTATTTAAAAAGAAATTTTATATTATAAATTATCATAAAACAGGGAAAAGCGGCTTAAATTTGAGGGTAGAGAAGTTTTCACACAAATATTGTAAATGTCAGTAACATTAAAAATTTTCGTTAATTAAGTCCGACTCCACTCCAGATATGATATATAGCTCTATCCCGTTGAATTCCGAACTCCAAAATTTAATAGCATTAATGCCTCTTATATACACGATACCACGCCAAGTTTCATTTTATAATCATTACTCATCCTGAGATATTAAACGAAATAGACGCCAACACACACACACACAGTGTTTAGTAGATTTATCCACTGGGTTACTGGTGGGCTTTTTTGTTCACGTTGATTTGTTATTGCAACTAATTTTATAATTATGAAAGAAACGATTTCTTGTTATTGTAAGTAAACTAATTGTGAGGAGAGATTTCTCGTTAATACGAGAATTATTTGTGTCATAGGAACTACATATTAAATATTATTTTATGCGATCTATATTTTTCATCAAATATAAAAATATTTATGCTTCATTAAAATCTTTATTTTTTGGAAGATCTCAAATAACAAAATCGAATTAATGTTTATTACAGAAAGCGTAAGAATGACATGACATTTTTTGAAAGATTGAACATACCGGGACCAAGACCACATTTCATAACAGGAAATCTTTCCGAATATACTGAAAAGGTGAGAATTCGAATAATTAAATAACTATCTATACAATTAGAAATACATTCTATGTATTTTATATATTACTTGAAATTGTAAGGTAAGTGTACTAAATATGGACATGGCCACAAGCCAGTTTTTACGTTTTTGACCGAGGTATCACTAGATTATATCCCCGATCAATGCGCATTCAGAAGAAAAGTTTCCGCAATGACCACGATGCAAATCGACCACGAAATTGCAGAGACAGAAAAAATTTTTTGACAGGATTACTATAAAGTTACAAGTTTCTTTCGCTATCTATTCTATAAATGCTGCAGATTATTACAGCCGGTTTTTTGGACATTTTTTCTGATTAATAGTAGTTTTAAACATATGACAGTTTAGAAAAATTCGGCAGATCTGTGACTTATTTACTCTTCCACTGTTTAGGTTCCTAATACGTCTAATTAAGCGTCTACCATTAATTAAAAACTTTTCAGCTTTAATAATATGATATAATTTTGTAATTTTGTATTTCATTCGAGTTAATACAGTAAAACAACTAACGTTTAATTAACAATTTCACAATAACAACCGATAAACAAATTCTTGCTCTTCTTTACGAATCCGTGGTCCTAAATTGAGGACAAAGACGACGCAATATGGTTGCAGTGAATACAGTATCGCTACAAGTCTTTTTTTAAACAAAAATCCTTTAACGAAACGGATTCGAAAATTTTATTTACTTCTCAAAAAGAACGAACTCTTAACCATACAGCGTTCGAAAATCTCTCTTTCGTCATGGCGTTCCAGATTCTTCTCTTCTTTTTTGAAATTTTTACTTTTTCTTTTCACATTCTTTTTTGTTTAAATTTAAACTTCTGCATTCTTAGAACAATAAATAAATTAATATAAATATAAATCCGACAAAGTATATACCGTAGAGTAACATAACATATATATATATATATATAACACAGATCACACTGGGAGAGGGGAGCGAGTAGGTCCAATATTATTACACCCCCGCCGCAAGATAGGTGTTAATGTGTGGATCCGAACACGAATCTGAAACAACTCCGAAAGAACAAGGATATAACGGAACAGAGCCTTCACGAAGTTACACAAAGTTCACGCACACGATACACATCTCACAATTTTCATTTACACGAGTTATGCCTGTAGTCTCTATCCTAATGTGTCTAAGTAAAAATGAAAAGAGGTTGTCCGAAATGTATATTCTCTAGTAAAAGTCTGTTTATCCATCTTAATTGTCTTCCTATATAATTCGTTCTCTCAAACAATTTTAAACTTACTCATAATAATTAATGTTTGTTTTGTACGAGTAGGGATTTGAAAAATGCCAATTGGAATGGATAGAGAAATATGGAAATATTGTAGGGTAATATATACTTTTTACTTATTTTTAATATTAAACATAACTTAAATCTTCTATTTAATTAATAATGAAATATTATTTGATTATGTAAACTTTTAAAAGATAGAATATATTAAAAATCAATTAGTAAAAGTTAAAAATATCCATAAGCTGTTGAAGATAAACTTAAGATATTAAGTTTGTAAATAAAATTAATTATATTTTTATGATTATTTATAAATTTGTAGCTTTTAAGATATAATTTCAAATATTCTACACAATTGTATCGTGCAATCTTGGAACCATCATATTTCCTGATGTGTGATAGGAAATGCGAAACTTTATGATACACTGTGAGAATGTCGGTAAATTTTGAAGTCGGTGACTACCATTCAGAACTACAATCAAACCGCCGTAAAGTACTGTATATTTATACCAGAATGTAGCAGGTGCACGTCAGTCATAAACGCAATGTTTGGTCAGGAAATATTTTATACAGTCGACCCCCCTATAAGATAGAGATACGTTCCATTCTCTAGGAATCCGCTTTCTTACGAATCCTTCCAATCACAACCCGACACGTATCAAGTTTACGGACTACGGCTGTTTGAAAGATTTTCTTCCATAAAATTAATCGATTCTAGACTAATCCGACTCAACATTTCCAAAATACGTATATATTTTTTGGGAATAATCNTGTTGTAAATAACGTAGTTAATTATTAACAACACAAAATCCTGATTTTTATTTATTTATTTATTTTAGTTTTAAAACTATTCAAAGTAGATTTTCATTTTATATTAAAAGCATTAACAAATCGATAAAGAAATTTATTTAAAATAAACTTTAAAATGTTTTCAGTATTAAATTTTGAAGAAGGAAGAAATAAAGTTTATTATAAAAAATATAAGAAATATACAGCGAAACCTCCATTCATTTAATGGAAAACTCCTGACCCTTCAAATAAGACACCCTTTATATTTTCCTCTAAATAGCGGACAAAATTCTCTGTCCCGACGGTGTCCGCTATTCGGGGATTATACTGTACAGTCGACCCCCCTATAACACTATTGATAATTCCGTTTTATATGAATTCCATGTTGTACGAGTCACTTAGCTTTTACAAATACGTGTGCCGGGCTGTGACCGGCTCACGTATTTGTAAAATCTAAGTGACTCGTACAACATGGAATTCATATAAAACGGAATAATCAACAGTGTTATGGGGGTCGACTGTAATTTGATACGATTATGAAATTAATGAAAAATTTCCTTGTTATTTATTTTATATAGCAAGTAATCAATATCTGTTCGGGTGTTATTTACAAATAATTTTTAAAGGGATATATTTTGTTCCAATCACGTCAGATGGGGTGCTTGTTTTCAATGAAGTACTGTACCTATATTTTTAGTCATGGCATTATCATATCGTAGTATTTTTCGAGTGGACTCCGTCTCCGCTCATAGCGGTGGTAACCAGACCCTAAACACTGGCGTTCGGTTGTGGATTCGCGCCTCGATCGGACAAGACTGGCAGCAGGGGTTTTTCCGGGTTTCCTCTTTGCAGATAATGCCTAAATGGGGGCTAGCTTTCCCTAAAGTCCTTCTGGAAGGAATCTATCTCCCTTTGCGTCTCTTCCGGCCATCTTCTATAAGGTAGCTCTCCGGTCGTATGACAATCATTCACCTGTCTTTTGGAGTAAGAGCGAATAGCTATAAACTCCATATGAAATGAAATCGTAGTAGTCAAATTCACAAACGATATACGAGACGTTACGGAATTTTCACAAAACGTTCATATTACAAGTAAAACGTATGTACAGTTACAAAACAATTACAAAACGTCAGGTGTAACAAAGTTCAAATACTTTTAATCCACGACAACAGGTCCGTCGAAAAGACACCTTGCGACGAACTTCTTCGGACGTAAGTTACCGCACAGCGAGACGAAACAATCTTCTAAGCAAGCTTAGACGAAGCTAGACGAACGTGATGTATCCTAGGCCAGGGGTCGGAATTAGCGGCTTGCGAGCCGCATGCGGCTCTTTGCATAGACGTTTGCGGCTCTTCGGAAATAAACTCCAATTTCATCTCACCTCATTTCACCGCAGCCTTATAACTTATGAGTTTATGAGATAGAGCCGCCGAACAAACTTCGACTTGTTCTCCGTCCACACATGACCACACTCGCGTTGATCAATATGAGTCGCATAAGAGTGGTAGCATTTGAAGCATATCTATATATATATAACCAATTGAACGCGTGTCCGTTCATCCGTGTAACGTTATGCCGAAAACGGCCACTAGAGGCGCCTCTGTAGTGTGACGTATTTCGCACATTTAAATTAATATGCGGCTCTCTGGTACTTTTGTTATCCTGTTTTCATGACAATTTGGCTCTTCTCACTTGACAAACTGCCGACCCCTG